ATAGCTAGCTGGCCTATTCTCCATGGTGTGGAGCCGCGCTTCTAAGTCTGTGAGCCTCGCCTCCAATGCTGCTAGCATCTGACATTTATTACAAGTACCATTATCACTAAAGGAGGCAGAGGAATAACTGAACATGCGACACTCCGAGCAAAAGAAAGGAGGAGAGGAAGAGGGGGAAGCCATTGCTCTCGATTAAGCTACTAGCTTAGCTAGCTTCTAAACTAGTCGACCTAAAGTAGCAAGTTAAATTTGGTAGTTAGCAAGAACTTCTGCAAAACAAGTACTTTAAGTGGTGCAAACGTATGTTGTCATTCAAAAATTCAGATGAACCTAGAAAATAGTGAGTTTAATTCCTAAACAATCTGGAAGCAAGCACAACGCAGTGCAAATACAGAAAACAGGAAATGAGTACGGTTTACCACAGGAAACAGCAGTCCGTCAAAGGTTCCGCATACCAATATGTCGATCGCGATCGACTGGTAGATCGCGAAGGTAGTGTAGGTAGATTGCATGCCATGAAAAATTTAAGGGGGTCTGAATACTTTCCGTACCCACTGTATATGAGACTAAAGTACATAATGGAAAGTGTGTCTCATTGTGAGTGAGTGTGTGTAGGGAGAGCTCTAGACTGGGAATAGAGTTTAATAAACTCCTTTTTGAATCTTTTGAGATATTTTTTTTTAATGAGGACGAGAGACGATTATCATTTAAAGAGAGATGTAAACTCTGCACTACATTGTGCAGAGTTTTTATTTCACGCAGCTGTGCTGCAGATTCAGAAGCCGTAGAAGCTAAAATATCAAGAAGACAGCAAATTCAGTGAACATATCTTTTAAAGATGCTGAAGGCGAGCTTATTGTTGTGCTGCTATGCAGTCTGACAGGTTCCCGAATGCAGCGTAACACCAGCAGCATGCTGAGGCCAAGCACTCTCTCTCACATCATTGAAAATAATTCCTCTAACATGTGGAGTGGTAGATATTTAAACACAACCTGTTTGCGCTTTGTCATGTTCATCCTCCTGCAAATATTGTATTCTGCAGTTGTTTTGTTGACTTCAGAACACTGGAGCCAGTCTGACATATTTGATAGAAGTAGACGCAGACAGCAAATGATCACATCTTAAAGAATTCTTTTTTCATCTCTTTCCCCTTCTTCTGTTGTTTGTTTTCTTTCCCCCATCTGTTCTCTTCCTCTCTCTGCTCCCCCGCCTATCCCTCTTTCTTCTTCCATATGCCTCCTGCCCATTCTCTGTCTTCTCCAACCTCATCTGTCTTTCTTTCCCCCTTTTCTCTCTTTTACTCACACTTGATCTATTCCTGCTTTATCTGCTGCCTCTCTTACGTTCAGTCTGGGAGGTGGTACATTCCTGGGCCTTTGCTGTCTGCTGACGGGCTGCGAGACGTTCGAGGAGGCATTGGAAATGGCCAGTAAGGGTGACTCTAGCAATGTGGACAAGCTGGTGAAAGACATCTATGGAGGAGACTACGAGCGCTTCGGCCTACTGGGCTCTGCTGTGGCATCCAGGTGAGTGTGATGAGGGTTTGCCCCCAATGTTGCCACAGTTGACTTCAGCAAGACGTGATCCTCTGAACGATAAAAGCATCAAGGGCCACTGAAGAGCTGGTTTGATGGAAAACAAAAAGAACAAGCTTTAAGTGGATTAGGGTGAGGGCAGAGGTCAACAAAATATAAGGCTGACTAGGTGAACCTGATACAATTCTTAAATGAAACATTTGAAGTAGATCAGCTCAGCTTGGAATCTGCTGAATCAGCTTTAAGCACTTTATGTATTTACATTAGAAAATTGCTCAAACAGCACAATGGAGAGAACATAAATCAAAATGTCTTAGCAGGGTTTAATTTTGTGTGGGAACGGTGGTTTCATCCTTTCTATGAATGTACTACCGCATAAATATACACAGTCACGCAGAATTTAAAAAGACACACACCAGGAAACGCTGTATGAAGTAACCGCTGAATGACAGTGAGGCACACTGGGTTTAGTTGTGTGCACAGCAAACCTGCAGCCCATGTCTCAGCATATTCGGCCTCATTGTTTTGCAATCTAAAAGCTGCCTTTTCTAACTTAATACTGTCCACAGATTCTGTAATCCATTCTTTACTAGTTGATGCATTAGCTTAGTAGAAAAACAGTTATACTCACTGACAACACTTGTTTATTGAAGGTTATCATGCCCTTTGCAGAGGCTCATATTCTGTTTTTCTTTACTTTGTTAAGAGGTCATCAGAGTAAAGCGATACCCATAAGGAATGCGTGTGAGCATGTGTGTGTGCGCTTACATGTAAAAGGCCTTTTTTTTTTTTACATGTTTTGTTTGGTTTGTTTTTCAGTTTTGGTCACATGATGAGCAAAGAGAAGCGGGACAGCATCAGTAAGGAAGACCTGGCCAGAGCTACGCTGGTCACCATCACTAATAACATAGGATCCATAGCACGAATGTGTGCTGTCAATGAGGTACACGCATGTGCACACACACACACACACACACACACACACACAGGGTCCTGGTCCTTAACAGGCATATGTGATTTATATATTACTTGTCAATAAACACCTACATACAGTAATGACCAGGGTTTAGCTAGTCACCATGCTCTCTCTCAGTAACACACACACACACACACCACTTTGCACTCTGTTCTGAGTATGTGAGGTTCATTGCAATTAAAATAAATCAGCACATAGTTAAATATAAAAAGCAGTAAAGTTTCACAGTGGCAGCAGCCAAACTCAAACTAGTTATTTTCTGGAGACTTTCTGTGTGCAGTGAGCTTCTTTACAGTGTTGCCTCTGTTCTGAGTATATGAGGTTCATTGCAATTAAAATAAATCAGCACATAGTTAAATATAAAAAGCAGTAAAGTTTCACAGTGGCAGCAGCCAAACTCAAACTAGTTATTTTCTGGAGACTTTCTGTGTGCAGTGAGCTTCTTTACAGTGTTGCCTTGTGGCATGGCGATCAAGCAGCATTGTACAGGGCTATCACTGCATACAGGGCTGCAGCGGAGATGCACACATGTAGAGCTGGTGGAATTAACCAGTAGTTGTGGTTTTGATTTTAATTATCTAAAATGTTGATATGAGACAGAGATTAAAATTCTGCTCTGAAATCCAGAGTGATGACATTCTTTAAGACTAAGTGTCGGACAGGAAGCCTCGGTCCTATCAAGGGTAGATGACCTGATAAGTCCGGTGTTTGCCCATTATACGTAGATGCATATCAGTGTACCGGCCTTTACACACATACACATGCTGACCTTGTTCTAAGTGTACAGTCAAAATAACAATATAAAGGTTGCACAGTGCAGTTTACAGCATGAAGAGAACCTCGTTCTACGTCTGTTCTTAGCCTCTGTCGCTGTTTTACCTCCATCCAGTCAAATTATCATCTTGTAAACAGCTGAACTATTTTACTTATTTTAAATTAGATTTAATACTGGTCACAGCCATTAAAAAGCTATTAAAAAGTTCCAAACCACTGGAGCTGTTTTGTCATACATCCAAGTAACATCATCCATTTTCACACATGCAGAGCTTATTCTTTCAGTATGATTGTTTTCCCCTGCGGGTGATGTCAAACTGGAGGTAAAACTGTTGATTTGTGACTGGAAATATAAAAAGTCTTTCTTGTTTAAAATTGTTTCTACACATCTGCTTAATTTACCAACTTTACTGTCACCCTTTAGCTGCAAATACATTTAAGCCAATTATCTTTTAAAAAATCTGCATGTTTTAGCAACATTTAACAGTTTTAGGTTGGTTTTTTTTGCCTCATTGTAATGGTGAAAGCTTTTCCGTTTTTTGTGTAATACCAAATTTGATCAGCATTTGGTTGGTTTGTTTGCTTTATCAGTGGTAAAGGGCAACAGGTTTACTGGTAACCATTTTGATAGCTTCTCAGCACCACCGTGTGGTTTGGAAGAGACACTGCAGTTTTACCCACAGTTTCTGATCTTTATTCAAGGGACTGACGTTCATATTGCCTGGTTCATAGAAACCGCACAGAGCACCAATTTTTTTGGTGCAATCAAAATAACGTTTAAATGTATTGAACTTTTTTTTGGCTATTCTCATTTTTTCCCCTTTCTATTGCTGTTTTGCTATTCTGCTTCCATTGAAGTCCATAGTAGAGTGATAATAGGACATGAAGGGAGAGAAAAACAGCAACAAAGGTCCTCGGCTGAGTGCGAAGCAGGACTGTCTCATTTCACCTGACTGTTTTCACGTTTCTCTTCATGTCAGAAAATCGAGCGCGTGGTGTTTGTTGGGAACTTCCTTCGTATCAACACGGTGTCTACAAAACTGCTTGCCTATGCCATGGACTTCTGGTCTAAAGGACAACTACGAGCCCTCTTCCTGGAACATGAGGTGAGCGCTTAAGAAATAATCCAGAGGATAAAGGCAACCCCGCTATGGACCTCAGTCCACTTGAGAAATGAATTTAAACCAAATATAATCCCAGGCAGGCATTAGAAACCTGCAGCACTGTTGGGCTTTGTTATAAACAAAGCTCCATGAAGTGGATGTAAGAAGTGTGTTCATGTCTTTTTGCTCCAGGGTTATTTCGGAGCTGTCGGGGCACTGATGGAGTTGCTCAAAACAATGGAGGAACCGTGAAGGAAACTATGCCATGACATCATCAGCCCTTGACAAGACGATGTCATCCACCCCTGTGATGTCATCAACTCTCGACGCTGTGATGTCATCAACTTTTGCGCTGCTGAAAGGTCCTGTTCACAGAGGCCGCTACAGGAACACTAAGAGGGACACGGAAACTGAAAAAAGCCATTTTAATAATTTAATACATGTAAATAATAACCTCTAACATCCATCTCCCAGATTTCCCCAACAGTGTCTCCTTATCGTGGAGATTTTAATATAATCTTTAATTTATAGTTTTCTGTGAACAGCTCTGCTGATTCCTGTCATCAGCCCTGTGTCAGGAGGCACAGAGACACAGAGTATTCTGGTGTCTGTTTTTGTGTGAAAAGCTACTGTAACATTATGCTCTGGAGGCTGTGGTTTCCTGGGCTGCTATTTGTGCAACAGTAGGGATGTCTGCACAGAAATAAAGTTACTCTTCAGTGAGTAATTAGGCGTTTTTATCACCAGGGCAACAAGGCAGTTGCTTTTCTGCAACCACAGAAACATCATTTGACCCCCAATGCCTCCTGCAGACACACAGCTGGAGCTGCTAATGTTTATCTAGATCAGCTGGTGGTCACCCAGCTCCAAACTGCAGCTGCACAGCAGTTGTGGCAGTAGCTAAGGGTTGAGAGGCATTCTGCTGTTGCCTGCTTGTTGCACAAAAAGTTGCCCCTTGTGCTACAGTCTTCTAAGGAGTGCACTGAAGCCAAATCCTGTTAAGAGTCATACAACAACTGCCTCCTACAGCTCAGGTTGGAAGCAGTAAAACAGTCTTTAATTCTTGGTGTTGCTCCACTACACATGGCCTTTTTGTTGGTCTCATCTCCATCTGCCTAAACAGCATTAACAACACCATATTGCCACATATTCATACTGTACCTAACCTGCTGAGCTTAGCGTTAGACCATGGGACCAAGAGGTTGTCTTCCATCAGACAGTGCGTTGTTCTCTCAGCAGCACCATAACTACAGATCAGGACCCAGTCTGGCTCAGCGACATGTGTTTGTGATTTGTGAAATACTGAGGGATGTTTTTTTTTTTTTGTTTCTGTTGCACACCCTATTTTCTTTTTCTCTTGCCCTTCCCTGTCTTTCAGCATCTAGCTCCAGGACACTTCAGCGAGGTGGAAGTCCGATTCCTCGCCCTGCTTCCTTGTTTGGGTGTTGCATTGTGATGTAATGAGGTGTTTGGGGCTGAGCTGAATCCTTCCATAAGAAAGGTCCAGCATCCTGATCTGCTTGCAGCAGAATCGGTTCATCTGCTGTAGATTAGACTGTTCTTACTCTAGTGGTGCAGATGTTTTCTTCTTAATCTGCTGCTGGGTAGGTGTAGTTTTATTCCCCAACGTTTTACTCACACACAGTGAGAAAAACCCAAATCCTATACGTGTACAGTATATCTAGTTAAAGTAAGTAGTTGGCCAGTGAGCTACACTTTGACCCCAACTAATTCTGCAACCCAGATGGACACTTTTTATCGTTCATAGGCCATTTAAATTCTCTGTGCTTTATTTCAACCAAACATGAACCCTGTGCGGTGGCACATGCCCAGGTCCACCTTTACTGAGCTTGGCTTTCAAGGACAATTGACAGAACTGATCAGAATGAACCACACTGAACACAGCCCAAGCTGCGGCAGAAGAAAGGCTTTTCATTAGCTCTAGGCAAAGAAATGACCGCATTTATCTCCCAGATGCACAGTTTGCATGCCTGTCTAAGAACAGTGAGCCAGGGCAGCCTCGTGCGCACAGACTACATGCCTGTCCTGATCTGAGACCATATCCACACTAGCACATGCACCTTAGAAGAGATTTAAAAATTGTGTATATACTGAATACTTGAAAATGTTAGTGTGAATCTGCTAGTGTGGCTCTTTTAACATGTAGGGATCTAACCTGACCTGCAATAATGTTGGAATTATAAATGTACGCCTCATTCTTTAGGTAAGCTTTGCTATATGCATGACAGTGACAGCTAAAAAGAGGCTTTGTCATCAGTGAACTTTCTAGCTTCTGACGGTGAACTATTAGTTTCCCGTAATGTTCCCCCTACCTGGAGTTTACAGCCTTTCATCTCTGTTTATTGTCAAAGCAGCCAGGCTATGAAGCTGGGCGGTTCAGTCTCCAGTGTCTGTTGTTATATCGTTATTACCATTGCCTACATGCCTTTACTCTTCAGCAGAGGAACTCTGCTTTTTCCCTTTTTTGGAATCGTCCTTTGTGTAATTCACCTCCATCTGTTGGTTTTTATTGTTAAATACCTCCAAATCATCACTGTCAACACTTTAGGGTCAGTTAGTTTCCAGTGTTTTTGAGCCTGTGTTAATTAGCACTGCAGATTTTCTTGATGGCACCTTGTGATTTCTTAATGTCACTTATCTCATAGCATACACATGAGCTACACTTTGACCCCAACTAATTCCATGTTTGCTGCTATACAGTTCTGTTGTGTGGGTTTTATTTTTTGGTCATTTGTACAAAGAGACCTGAGGCAGTTGGATTACAGGCAACTTGGTTCTTAGGAAGTTGTTATATTTGGGATTTTATCTACACATTTAATAAGCTTTGCTGTGAAATTGAATATGCATCATTTGAAGGAATTATGTTTGTGAATTCTACATTGAATAGAATCAATATAGATGAGTTGGGTTTTTTTATGAACAATTCATAACTCACAATAATCAGGGTAGATCGGTACAAAAGTAAAAAAAAAAAAAGTGTAGATTTGTTGGATATATTGGGTATAATGAACCAGTCAAGTAGTGATTATCTTAAATAATCTGATACTTACAGTTTGCAAGTGTTAAGAGTAAAACTGTAAAACTGGTGAGATCCTTTATAGTGTTTTCTGGTCTGTTAATTTTTTCCTCATTTGCCTTTTTCCACCTCATGCTTGGATGATAACCATGGCCTTGACCTGTCAGGTGTTTTTACCTCGTGCCATCCCTTCTTTTCATCAGTTGCCTTGGTCGTGCGTTCGTCTGTATGTTTCAGTTTCCTGCGTCATGTCCTTTTTTTACCTACTGAACTTTTCCTCAGTGTTGTGGTAATGTTGTGCATCCACATACATTTTTATGTTTGGGTTTCACTTTCTGTCTTTGCTTCTGTTGTTGTGTTTTGTTTCCCGTTGTACTATTAACTGGCGCTGCAGTGTCTTCGGTACGAACGCTTGGCATTTTTCACCACGTTCTTGTGAAACAACAGATCATTAATAACAGGGTGTGTAAATGCACATGTTTTCTCACGTTCCTTTTTATAGTGTTTTGGACAACAGTGTGGTTTGGGAACATTTTTATCCTGTTTTTTTGTTGTTGTTGTTGTTTTTTTATCAGTAATAATGTGAGTTCTTGTATTTTCCCACCTGATCTTCTGATTGTTTCTGGTTGGCACAAAAGAACCAGTGTGAATGTGCTCAGAATTGTAAATCCTTGCTGTCATGCTCTGTCAGGCTGAGGAAATGACTTAAAACATGTTGTGAGTTGCAGCATTTGTATTGGTGAACATTGTCACTGTGAGTTTTAAACATGTCATCACTGTTCTGCAGAGCCTTTACTCTCAAAACATCAAAATAGAAGGAGCCTTTTTTTATGGAAACCAATCTACTGCTCATCATTTGGCTCAGTCCTGGTGTCTGTTCTTTTATCAAAAATAAATCAGGACAAACATGGGAAACATTTTAATCTGAAACATGGTCTCTGCAGAATATAGGTGATCCTATGTGATGGTATCATGTAATATCATTTTCATACTAATCTGCAACTGTTCCGAGCCAGTGATAGAGACTGACCTGGGAATATCCTGAGTTTGAGTCCATGTTGTGTTTTGGTCCCTACAGTACCTTCTGTACTGCTGTATCTTCGGTGTTCCTGACTCCAAAACCAAATGAATGAGACTTGCTTCACATAAACTTTGTTTTCATGGCAGCCACTCATAAATCCATCATCCAAAGCAGTATCACGTCTTGGACTCTAGTTGACATATTTGTAAACTTTTTAAAAATGTTTCAGACATTTTCTATAACGAATCCACAGATACTGTACAGTATGAAGCAAAACGTTAGGTAAATTAGCTTTCGTTTCTTCTGTTATCACGAGCCTGTTATCAACGTGGGTGCTTGTCTGCTTTGGTAACAGTCTGAGTTTATTTCCCACAGGGACCACCTGTCCTCAGACCAGTTTAAATGTCTCAGTACTGTAGGAAGCTTTGGGTGAAAGTGTCCATCGAACAGCAAATGTTGTCATCCATAGTGAAATCTAACAGGCTATGCAGTAACTCATCTGTCAATAATGTAGGCCCCTTTTCTAAACCTAACAGCTGTTTGTAAATGTTTTAAAAGAACTATATATGCAACCCTGTTGATGTTCCCTTCTGAGAAATCCTGTTAGTTTCTCCTTGAAGTTTCTGTCCTGCTGACTTACTGTAGATGTTAACACTATTTAAGGTGGATGCTCACAACAGGATGATTTACACCCAATTATGCAGCAATGTGAGTGTGCCAAGCATGTTCCCTCTGTGGTCTGTGTGATGCCGTGATGCTGTACGGTAAAAGAAACAGACCTACAGTTATTTTGGACACGGCTCTGTTATGGCAGATACTTGTCACAGTCAGACTGTTCATCTTGTTGGATGTATGATGCTGGTTGAATTTGTTTAAACTTTACACTAATTTTTTATTAACACCAATGTTAAAAGTACTTCAGATGAGCTGGAGCTGATCTTGAACAGTGTTCCTTCAGGGTAGGTCATCTGTAAACGCCCTGTCGCTGTCAAACCTCATGTTGAACTCCACTCACTGTGACATAATGTGTGTTGTGATCTTCATGTTTTTCCACCTCTCTTTGCTCTTTGTTTTCCTCATTAGTTCTTAACTTGGTCCATCATCCTCCTGGTGCGTGAGCACATCCAGCCTTCACACTCTCTTCTGGAACGCTTGACTAGCAGGACAGACCTTTTCACCCTTGTGTATTTGACTGTATAGAGATTTTGTAAATAATATAAATATGATATATTCTACACCAGCAACCTGTCTGTTGATAAAGTTGTTTCAGCTGGTCAGGACCAGGTTTCCCAAACACGACTCTGCACTGGAATTGTAAATGAAGTGCAGACAGAAGACGCATCAGGACAAAACACTTTTCTCTGTGGCTTTATCGCCTCTAACAACGCCTTTACCAGAGCTGTGATAAACAGATACTTGTGGTATATGGCTGAGATTTTCTCCATTAGGACTAGATACATTTACATGACTAAGCTGACATTCATTGTAATCTTGCAGTTAAATCCTTCAATCTGAACTGTTTTATAGGTTTAATTTCACTTTAATATTATTTACACTATTGCATTCAAGCCCGTTTTACTTTGATTCACACATAACTAATCTGAATGGTGATAACTAAATGTCATTTTAAGAAAAACATGGAATGTTGAATCAGATCTTTCCTCCACACTTTGACGTGTTTAGCTCATTTCAGTGCTCCACACAATCCAGGTGCATATTTTCTGTCTGCTGGATTTCAGTGCCAGTCGTTCACCTCGGCTCCTCTGTGATCTGGATCTGGCTGTGAAAGCTTTGGGAAGCCCAGTGCTGGTTGTTGGCATCAATTCTGCTGCTGCTTTTAACTCTGCTTTGAAGAAAGAAAGAGTTAAAAAGATTAAAAATGGCTCCCTGCCTTGTGCTATGTATATGTACTGAAGTGGAGATCTTTTTTTCTAAAGAGGAATTAAACTAAAACTGGATCCGATATGTGTTCAGAATTTTTATTTACTTGTTTATGGAAAGAAAGGAAGGACAGAAAAACAGACAGCAAGCAAAAGAGAGTGAGTGGCCAAATCTACAGAAGAAGAGAAAAAATGTGATTGCTGTCTCAAAAGTTGGACCAATATTAGTTTATATAACAATGAAAGGGGGCAACTAAAGTCAAGCTGTGTCAACGGGTGTGGAGAACTGGGGCCAGTTTATTTGTACTGGCATCCAGTGGCAAGACGGTCCAATAGGAATCACACAAGTCGTAGTTTGCCTGCATAACTAAATAGTGTTACATCAGGATTTTAATCACTGTATTGTATTAATAAATAGTTAAATATCAAACTAATAATAGTGAAACTGAATTTTGTTAAGATAACTGACCATAACTACACCAAAGAGCATAGATGGTTTTGAATTTGGACCTTTATGATTAATAACTGCAGTGACAAAATGACCCCCCCCTAAGTGTGTCTAGTGTGTGTTATCTGTGCGACTGAATTGTGTGTTTGTTGTGTTGTCTGTTGTCTCGGAAGCATCTGTGTGTTTGTGCAATCAGGAGTGTGTTTCAGTAAAGACTTGTATAGTGTTTGTGTGCTTGGTAAAGAGTGTCCGTCCCCCACACATGGGGCCCTGCACTGCTCCACTGCTGCACGTTTTCTCTGCACCTCAACTGCTTCTTTAGTTACGACGCTTGAGTACATGTTTTTAGTTGCACTTCACCACTGGTTAATGCGACTATATCATTTCCTCTAAGCACACGACTTTCAGCCGGTGTTTTGCATCACCTGAAAGCCTCCTCAATCACATGCTGTGTGTGTGTGTGTGTGTGTTTTTCAGACAGAAGTTTCCACTGTGTAGGTGGATGCGTGGGTGGCAGGTGGAGAATGGGTTTCCTCTGAGGTTGGCATCCCCGAACACAGAAAAGGACTTCCCCCCTTCTCTGCAATTATACACACACACACACAAAACCTTTGTTTTTCTGTCTGATGTGCATGTTTGAGTTAATGTAATTGTTGCGACCCAGGAAAATACAAGAATCTGTTGTTCAGTTGTCAGTGCTCACCTGTACGCCGTACTCCCACTTGTTGTCGAATCCTCTTATGTGAGTTGATCTCAATGAGATTCCAAGCAGCTGGTTTTGAAAACGTGATTTATTCTTCTTTGGTTTCTTTTGTCGTCTCATACACACTCCATAAAAGACATGCCTACAGCGGTTTCACATATTGTTCAGACCCATTCACTTTGTGTTGTGGATTTCATTTTAAAGGCATAAAACATTCAACTTTTGAGTTTTAATATATTTGCAAGAATTTCTAAAAGCATAGCTTCACTTTGGCATTATTGAATGTAGACAGATGACAGCTTTATTCATTTAAAATGTAGTGTGCAACACAAAGTGAAAGAGTCGGAATACTTTTCTGAACCCACCACACAACGGTACCTCAGCACCCTGAGTTCACTCTGAGGTTATAGAGCTAATCCACATGGGGGAGGCAAAGCTGATGTGATGCTGGAGCAGAGCATTTAAACGTGGCCACCATGTGTGGAGCGTATACATTATCTGTTCTTCAACTGTGCAAAAAGCTGAGTGATTCTTTGTGCCAGATTCATTTTTATTTGTTCACACAGGCAGTAAGAGAGGTTTGGACTGCACTTTTTCATGTGCCAGACCGGTATCATTTTGCCCCTAGCATTGTCATGCATGATGCTTGTGATGATAGTGTGTGATGCACTGTCCCATTAGTGGTTATATGTTGTTTCCAGCCTGATGTGGGACTGATGTCTTTGTCACATGCATATTAATTGTTAACGGTCTCAAAATAACTAGACACCTTACATCATACTCTCCCTTTTTAGCCAACTCATACGAGGAGTTTTATATTTGATTTAAAATCGCCTAACGAAGCCCCTTTTGCTCGTTTAAACAAAGACGCTGTTGAACTCCAGCACAGCACTACTGATCTCAGCAATGAGAAGGGATCTCACACGTACAGATGAGACACCTGCGTCGCTGGTTTACACTAGATTCACTCGCTGATAAACTTTTGTCATACTGCAGCCAGGTGCATAATGCCACTGTGTTTGTGTGTGTGTGCATGTGTGTTACCACATCACTCACACACACTTCTCTGTGGGAAGACAAACACTTTACGAAACACGAGACACTCCTGAGGAAGCACAGATGAAAAGGACACATGTAGACACTTCCACACACACAACAACACTGTATGTTCTTTCATGAAATCTTATTTCTTTTTCTGAATTTTTTTCTTGATTCAGTGTTTTATAGTGTTTCAGCTGTGTTTACTCCAAATCTATTGTCGTGACGGTCAGAAAGCAAACAACACTGTTTAATGTGTTTCCACTACATAACAGTGCAAGACAATCGTCATAGCGATGTCTGTGTTTACATACTCGAAGTATTCCCTCGTGGGTAACTGGATCAATGAAACCTGGACACTCAGGCTGCCGTTCTAAGAACGTGGCCAGGCTGAGCCTTGTATTGAACAGGTTACAGTTGTGTGGAAACATGTTGATGCTTTCAGGTTTTTGCTCACTGATAGAAACTGTTCCCTTGCAAAAGAAAGTGGTCTTTGCATATACAGTATGTGTTGCCATATAAACAGATGCGTGACCTCTGCAGCTCTAAAGCAGCAGTCTAACAGTTGTCCACTGTTTCACACACACTTCTCTGTTTGTTCCAGGTTCAGTTCAGAAGAATGGGCAACACCTTGCCTAAATGATGCTTTCTCCTTTTCCTTCAGTTGTTGTAAGTCAGAGGGCTGGAACCAGGTGGTGGTGGTAGAGCACCAGGTTTACCTGAAACTGATGCCTCCTCCAGACACAGCTGTTGTTACCATCAATTAGCATCAGACTCAAACACAACCATAACAAGCTTGCACAGCTTTTTTTTAGGGTGTGCAATTCAAACTGCACACCCTACATGTTGTTCATTTTGTACATGCAAGATTTGGAATACAGTAGTCCTGTTTCAAGTCAAGCTGCTCCTTAATTTGATGTACTTTACTTTATACTCTGAATTTGTTTTTGCACACTTATGCCTAAACAGCCTGTAGACCTCTAGCCTTGTTCAGGACTCTCATCACTGCACTGGGGACCTTCATGAAAGGGAAAAGTTCAGGGAAGTGGTTGTGTACTGCTCTTTACTGGTCGTGGGCGGGTTAAGCAGATACGCACTTGCGAAGCAAACCAGTTGGTCCTAGAACAAGTGACACCAAGGTGAAATTTGTGCCTTATCCGAATTGATTTGCTTTTACAAGAGAAATGACTTCAAGGATGAAAACTAACTGGTTGGTTTTGCAAATGTGCATTTGGTTAACGTCCCTACATCTCTTAAAGAGCAGTGCACAGAGCTTTTCTATGTCTACTGTGCAGTGGTGTGACAATTCCTAATGTGGCTAGTAGACTGTAAATAAAGAGGTACAAGGTGGTAGTACTCTGACCCAATGTTTGTGGCTTTCTGGAAATGTCATCAAATCAAAATAAATCTGTGTAAGATTCCATATTTTCCTCATAAGCTCAGTAAGTAATTTTCTTAGAAAAGTGAGGGAGTGAGTGAAGGTGTGTGTCATCAGATGTGCCTGAGTGTTTGTGTAGTGTTTGCTTTACTGAAATAATCGTTTGTGTGTTTTTGAGAGTGGATTGTACATGTGTACATTTATGTTGCTGTAAGTTGTCACTGAAGTTGACATAAAGAAAACCACACACTTTTTCACACCTTTAAGACCCTAACCTTTCCAGTCTTTGTTGTCCCCCCCGTGTAAGAAGGGAAATGGAAATCAGATGATTATAGAGATGAGGTGACATAGAGAAGAGTGAATGGAAAAAAAAGAAAAGGATGAACAGCGAACCTGGCTGGGGGGCTGGGGAAGGGGGCCAGGCTTGTGCTTTGAAACTGCCACAATGTGAAACAGGATCTGTGCTTACATATTAAAACCTCTGTGTGCAAAAAACCTTACATGAAAAACAAACAAGCTTAAAAAAGAAACAAAAGTTTAAGGTGTGCTCCTTTGTTGCGGCAGATTTTTGTCTCACCTTCTGTTTTATGTTCACCTCAAGACATCTGAGTTTACCTAAACATACCTGCAAGAAATGCTGCTTCACAGATTAATGGTAACTGAACACAACCCTTTTAAACACATGCTCTACAGAATATAAATTTGCCAACATGTTCACCATGTCAACTTAAAAGTGAAATGTTAATGTTGTGTTTATAGCTTATTTCTGCTGCCCCCGACTGGCCAAAAATATCAATTATTACAGGTTTAACAGCTGAAAAAACTAATCTCCTCTTTACACATTTATTGGTGCAGTCTGATGCATGAATGCTGTCTTGTGTCTTTGCATTACCTTAAACATTTTGACCTCTGACCCCCTGCTGCGATCATTATTTAGCACAGTGTGTGTTTCTGCATGCAGACTCTGGTTCATTTTTCTTTGGCTGCTGAGCACTTTAACAAAGATCCGTCTTTGTGTGTGGGCAGGCAGGTGTGTGTCACGTCATGTGTATTTTATATTTTGTATGTGTCCACCTCAGTGATAGTTAGGTATTTTTGATTGTGTGTGCCACTGTGCTCTGCTTTTTTTTAATGTATATTTTTTGTGTTACTTTGGTTTTGTAGAATATTGTGATTGTGTGTGAAACCAGTTTTCCATTCATCTTCTGTCTCTCAGGCTTGCAGAGGAAACCCTGAGTTCTCATTTTGAGTCAGCTCACTGTTCGCTATGGAAACTTCACACACATACACAATTACACACAGCCATGCAACATGATGGAACATGAGGTCAACATGTGTGCATCTGTCACATTTGTTGGCACTAAAAACATAGCTCTAAATATAGAAAACAGCAGCAACAACAACAAAAATGTGCCACATTTAGTGCTGTTGCCCGTGGAGCTGAGGTTGCCTCCATTGTACAATGGTTTTACACAGAAGTGCACAATTTGTTTTCTTTGGTCTAAACCTG